TTACTTCAAATCACATCTTAGATAACACCAGTTCAAATGGAGTTGTGAGAAGTGTAAGGGCAAGTCTTAATTCTATTTTATTTTATTTCTCCTTGACAAACATTTAAGGACGAGTCTTACATTGAATTTTTATTAATATGTAAGCGAACATGCAATAGAACAGTCTAAAATTTACGTGCTGTGCTTTGTCTTTCTTTAAACGTCTTCTATTTTACAATGCTTCAAAATCCCATGTTCATTAAAAAAGATACCGACTAACAGACAACTTAATTATTTGGAAGCAATAAATATTATTTTTTTAATAGCTTATATCGGAGGTTTCCAAGTTTTGTGAAATAGTATCCAAATTGTAAGACGAAAAAATTTATCTTATTTCTGAATGCAGAACAGAAAAAGTTCACGATAAATATTTTCTGTAAATGGGTTTTTTTTTTTGTAGTAGCATCTATTCTCTATTGTTAGGTTTGTTTCTGATGAATCTGATCACAATATTCATTCCTACTCCCTGCAGTAAATTTGAATTATTTACTGAAAAGATACTACTCAGCATAGAATGGAAATACTGCATTCATATATATGTTGAATTAATACTTGTGACCATTATTTATTATTGTTTGATAGAATGGAAATGAGAGATATTTGTTGCTTTTGCTGGTTACTATCGTGCATGATCTGCACTACTAATGTGAATGACCTCTCTGCAGTAATTGTAAAATATCTGTTTGGGCATATGTGGTAAACCTCAAACCTGGAAAGAAAGGCCTAGACTGAACCACCAGCAAAGAATTTCTTTTGATACAACACGCGGCTTGGGGGTACCTGTCTGGGCATTGCAATCAGAAAATTGTACACATAGATTTGAAGGCTGCAAATATCCCATCTGGATCATGAGTGTGAAGCTAGCTGTTCTTTAGTGGATACAAAACTAATGCATCACAACTCGAGTCTAGGGAACTATATATGGGATACTATCCTCTTACTATTTCTTTGACTGGAAATTAAAGCATCCGGAGAAGACAGACAGAACAGATGTAATTGAATATGGTATAACTCTCTTGTTGGACTTGTAACCAGTCCGCGTGCAATAGATCTCTCTGGGCTTGAAGAAGAGGAGGATGTACTACTGCTACATCATCGTGTGAGTTATATCTATCATTCATTCGCTTGTGAAATTCAGACGGACTCAAGCTCTCCGTCTCATCATCGACAGCATCATACTTTTCTTTTTAAATTGTTCCAAAATATTTGTCATGTTCAAAATTTCTAACTACTTTATACGTTGAAATTTCTCTTATACGTGCCTTTCATTAGTAATGCATAAAGATAAATGTGATGTGATTGATTGCTTTTCATTTCTTACTTTGACCAGCACACGATTAAGGACAAAGCTGGAACGAAAGGGAAATTTTTTTTTTTGTAGAGTGTAATATATTATCTTTCTTCTCTCGTATACCAATAAAAACATAAGATTTGAAATAAAGAAAGACATAAGATTTTTACATACCTTCAAAGTCACTATTTGCATTTCCTCTTTATTCTAAATTTATTATCATTTTCTTTTAGAATCAACTTTATATCTATATATGATTAAGGACACTAGAAGGATCGAAGTTGTACCGAAATATAGGAAGTTAATTCACTGTCATATTCTTTTAAAATCAATTTTATATGTATACGTGACTAAAGTGTAATTCAAAGAATCGAAATTATACGAACTATAGGAAGTTCTTTTCTTCTTTTCTGATATTTTAATGTAATAGGCCTACTTTTGACTCAGATAACTACTTCCTCCTGCCTCCTTTCAAATGAGCCGTTGAAAAAAAAAGTGTGAACATATGATTTCAAAATGTAATTTTATAAAAATAATTTCAAATTTATATTTAAATGATTATTCTATAAATGTCGACGAATACTCTCAAAATTTGAATTTTTCTACTCACTCAACTCAATACCAAGTAACTCGAACTTGATCAACACTAAAGTCGAACCTTAGACAAAACTACGTGCAAGTTCGAGTCAAATAGTTTGACTAAATTATACCCTTAAACTTGCCAAAATAAAATTTGTTACATGGCTCAAAAATTTTTACTTAATGGGGTAGTATTTAATTACTCTAGAAAATATATCTTTTCTATGTTCAAATATAACTACTATCAAGTTTATCTTAATCAAGTGTTGCAATAATAACAACAATGAGTGTGTTTGGATAGCCAAATAATGGCCATAATATAATTTCCAACACACCTTTTTATCTCACATACATCACATCACAAAAAGTGTTACAGTAATTATTCCAAACTAGTATAAATACCCGTGCTACTCACAGTAGATTATATTTTTGAAAAAAATTACAATCTATGGAGGAATTTAAAAAAAAAGTAAAATATTATAATCACGGGCACATGAAAGTATATTTAAAAAAATGAAACTTTGTAACAATAGTTCAATATATGATAAAAATATCTCCATTATTTATAAACTATCACTTTGATGAAGGTTGGATTCTGAAAAAAAATAGAAATCTATATCATAAATTGCGCGACATAAGGGTCCAATTAAATATAATTGAATATTTAATTTGATAAGTAAATGAAATACTTACAAACATTTTGCCTTTGATTTGATAATCTTCTACGAAGGTGTGAACATTCTTCACACCAATCGCCTCTAAGTACGAACACCAGTATTGGGGGTTTAATTAATTCTGTTGATTTTTGTGAAGTTTGTACTATAAATCAGAATGCACGATTTTTGCATGAATTAATGTGTTGGTCGAACAATGCACCTCTATTTTCCTGACAATTAAAAGCATACATAATTCAAAATTATATTTTATTTTAGACAGTTTGTAAATAATATTATATAAAAATATATACATATAAATAATGTATACCTTTGTTTTTAAATCTCTAAGATAAAAAATATCACAACGAAATATGAATAGTGCATGCTTGTCTTGAAGAGTGAGGTATAAGTTACCACTGGAATCTCTAACTTCTATGTTAACATTGTATATGTTAAGAAGAAATTGTGATGTATCATGCAAAAAATTATATTAAAATTCAAAATATATGAAAATAATTACCTGACAATAATGTCGACTACATCATTACAATGGATACACACCATTTTTGCAAAATGAGATTGACATGGTTGTCCACAATTTTTGCATAACTCACGGTATATATTATCTATGTTGATACTTTGAATGTAAGCAAGTATCCGAAAATATTTAAGCTAAAACCATCCAAAGAATGTATAGATTACAATTATTAATTCGAAACTACATGTAGATACTTGTTCATTACTTAATTAATTGAGAGGAATTGTACCGTAGGTAGAACTGCATATTCGGATATCCATATTCTCTTAGTATTTGATATCAACAATACTTGGGACATTGTAAAATTGCATGACCCCAACCACGTCACTAATTTCTGAGCACATTTATCATTCTCAAACCTGCAAATTTTTCAAATACATATTCATAAGGGTATGAAATATTATTAATAATTTAATATTATGGTATTTGTAAAACTTACCAACTGTGTAGGTATTGAGCAAAATCCAAGTAGTAATTGACATACAATTTTCTTGCTCAAATAGTATAAAGTGACGGTCCTGCACAATGTACTATATTATTGATAAACTATAAAAATTAAATAAAATAAAGTGAAAATAAATTGAATTACCTTTATAATTTCTCACACAAATACCACAGGCTAGCAAAACATTATTTTTTGTAACAGTTTGACGGAAATGTTCACCATCATCAGAACTACTGTCAAACTTCATTTAGCGAATTTTGGTAAGTATAAATCAAAATTTGCAGAATGTAAAATATTTTAAAGATATTGAATCTATTAACTAACCTTTTGTCAAGTAAAAGTATGTCACACTTAGTTTTATCATTGATAGATGTTTGATAGTGTGAACCAACAGATACAACTAAACCAATTAAATCTGAAAAAGATCAAAAAGTATAAGTAATACCAGTTCAAATATACAGCTTAAATAGAAGAACAGTTTGACGCAAATGTTCACCATCATCAGAACTACTGTCAAACTTCATTTAGAGAATTTTGGTAAGTATAAATCAAAATTTGCAGAATGTAAAATATTTTAAAGATATTGAATCTATTAACTAACCTTTTGTCAAGTAAAAGTATGTCACACTTAGTTTTATCATTGATAGATGTTTGATAGTGTGAACCAACAGATATAACTAAACCAATTAAATCTGCAAAAGATCAAAAAGTATAAGTAATACCAGTTCAAATATACAACTTAAATAGAAGTATGGTTAATTAAGAATGAAATACCTATCAATTGCAAATCATTGTCCATGTGTTGTTCTGTATCTCTTAGTTTGACCAGATTAAACTTGAAACGGGGTATGGTTCCACAATCATCTAAAATATTCACTATCTTTGTATCATTTCCAAATGATAATTGGTACTGATATGGTGCAAGCCGATATTTAAGATCTGCTGGAATTACATATATATTTTGAAACCAATATACCTTGCCTTCATGGAGATGATTTGCGAAAATGTTTATTGTAGTGGGAAGGTGGGTGAGGAGTGTTAGTTGGAGTAAGATGTGTAAGGAGTGTTAGTGGGAGTTAATGTCTTGTTTGAGGGGAACGTGGGAGTGCTAGTTAGAGTTAACTTCTTATTTGAGAGAAACGTGGGGTATAACGTGCCCATAATATTTTTTATGAAATAAATTAAATGTAAAATACTAGAAAAATAGAGTTGAGAGTGAGAAGATTTGTGAAGGCTTATTGCTAAAAATCCCTTCTCAAATTTATATAAATAATAATATTTCAAATAATCTTCTATCCAAACTATCCAAACACACTAATATCATCGTTCATAATCAATAATATCATCTCACCTGCTTTCTACAAAATAGCCTCTTTTTTATTATTATATTATTAAAAAAGGGGTCTGGGCATTGCTAGGCTTTTGATTGAGCTTTAATATCCGACACTCTGACGATGTCGTGGTAATTGAGAAAGCGCAATTGCCTGAATTTACCTCTGAAAATAATTTTCAACAACCGAGCTTCAGAATTTGCCTGAAAAATCCCAGTAATTAGTTCATTCAGACCGGAAGACGATGGTGATGATGATAATGAAGACGATGACGATGCAGAGAAGAGCTTCTTCTGCGGCGATTGTTTCCATTGCTCGGTCTCACGGAGCAGCGGCTTCATTAGGTACTCCTGCTCCTGCAGGTTGTACTACTCTTGCATCATTCCTCTCTGCATTCCCAAACCATAAACCCAATTTGGCTTTTTATTCTGCTATTAGTAGTAAATTTAAGAGCTCTTCTGAAAAAGCTCTGAAATTTCAACCTGAATTAAGGAATGATATTAATAATGTCAACAGTCTTGATGATGCTCTGAGCTTGTTCGAGCGGATGGTCTGGATGAGGCCTCTGCCTTCTGTTATTCAATTCAATCAAATGCTGACTTGTATTGTTAAGATGAAGAATCATTATTCTTCAGTTATTTCCCTTTTTAGAGATATGTGTGTCCAGGGCATTCCTGTTGATGAGGCCACCCTTAATATAATGATTAATTGTTGCTGCGTTGTGGGCCGAGTGGATTTAGCATTTTCTACATTGTCTGGCTTCTTCAAACGTGGTTTTGTTCCTAATGTGGTCACCTTTGGCACTTTACTTAAGGGACTCTTCCGAGACCATAAGGTTCCTGAGGCGCAAGAATTGTTCAAAAAGATAATCAAAGAAAAACTTTGTAAACCCAATGAAACTATGTTGGGGATTGTGATAGATGGGCTCTGTAAGGCAGGAAACACTCAAACAGCCATTGAATTCCTCAGAGCAACGGAAAAACGAGGAAGTCCTTGTAAACCTGATGCAATTATTTACAATACTGTCATTGACAGCTTGTGCAAGGATAAAATGGTTGATGAAGCTCTTGCCCTCTTACAGGAGATGATTGAAAAGGACATTCCCCCGAATGTTGTCACTTACAGTTGTTTGATTCAGGGTCTGTGCAGCTTAAGCAGATGGAAGGATGTTGACAAGCTCTTTGCTGAGATGAAGGCTTATAAAATTGTTCCAAATGTTATTACTTTTAATATAGTGGTGGATGCACTATGTAAGGAAGGGCATATAGAAGATGCTGAAGAGGTAGTCCAGATCATGATCCAGCAAGGTCAAAATCCCGACCTGGTCACATACAATTCGTTAATGGATGGATATTGTTTACGGAGTCGAATAGATGACGCAAGTGGAGTTTTCAATACCATGGTTGCTAGCGGCCTTACACCCGATCTCCATTGCTATGGTATTCTAATAAATGCCTATTACAAGACCAAGAAATTGGAAGCAGCCATGAAGCTCTTTCGAGAGATTCCACATAAAGGTTTAACACCTGGCATTGTTATTTATAACACTGTGTTGCAGGGGTTATTTAGTTCAGGAAGGTATCTTAGTGCACGAGAAATTTTCAACGAGATGCAAGCTTCTGGCATGAAGCCTAATTTTCACACTTACTGCGTGATGTTGGATGGGTTATGCAAGACTGGACATATTGATGAAGCATTGCAGTTATTCCATGCAATGGAAACTGATGGAACAAATCTTCACATAGAAATGTACAATATCATCCTTGATGGGTTGTGCAAAAGCAAGAGGCTCGATAGTGCTCGAGATCTTTTCAACATTCTCTCCCTTAAAGGATTGGACCCTAACGTCATAACATACAACACCATGATTTCTGGCCTGCTTTCAGAAGGTCTGCTCATCGAAGGTAAAGAGCTCATTGTAAAAATGGAAGAGAAGGGTTGCTTGGCAAATAGTGTTACATACAATGTCATTCTGCAAGGACTCCTTAAGGGAGGTCATTATGATGATGCAGTGGTCTATTATGAAGAAATGATTCATAGAGGATTCTTGCTGGATGCATCTACATTTTCCATTTTACTTGATTTATCTGCTGAGAATCAGAACAATCCTTCTGTGCTAATGTTGATGCTGATGATTGATCCCGATAGCAAGAAGTTCATGGATGGGGGACAAAGAGGACCTTCACATTAGTTGTAACATGTTGGTCCTGCAGTTTTTTGGCTCCTGATGTTTAATTTGCTGGTAGAAATGTTAATAAGGTTCACATTTGATCCTTTTATCACTTATCATCTTTGTTTAGAGGAGGTCTCTTGGTGATATTTTGTGAAATACCTCAGAGAGCATCAGTCTGGTGGAGAAGCCGCATTCCTTAGGCAAGTTCAATTGTTAGGTGTATCAGGTCACAGAAAGTTGGTGCAGTTAATTGGATTTGTACAACTTCTTCTCAAGACTTCTTCTTTACCTTTTCATGGAGAACTTCAATGTGGCATGTCACTTAAGTGGTAACTTGTACAGGCTCTTTTTCTTCATTTTTCATGGGTGTTGGTACTTTAGCTTGCCTTTTAAGTTCAGTTCGGATAATTACTATTTGAATTTGTTGAGTGTAAATATAGTTTGTGATATTCAATTTCTAGAAAAGTTTCAAACTGCATTTCTATAATTTGGAGGAAATTTTTTCATGTAAGAACGATAAAATAGTTACTTTTATTTCAATTGCTAAATGGAGTCAAAAGTTCCACCGGTTCAAAAGTCGACAAACTTTCTAGACCAGTTTCTTGCTTTGGATTCATATTTTGATGTCCATAGTCATAGCCATTGGTTTTTTTCACAGCATTTGACTGAACCCGAACTTTTCAAGTATGATCCAGCAAAAAGTATTCTGATTGTTTTTCCCTTTAATTTTTAATGCTGTACTAAGTTATATAGACATTTAGTGGAAGTGTAGCAAAAATATCATTCCCTTGCAATAACTTAGAATAATTTATCACAGAAATTCTCTGTTTTTTTTTTCTTCATATATTTCTCCTCATACATAAATCCACTTGGTTGTTGATTAACAATAGACATGATTATGGGATTCTTCAATATTAATATTTGGTTGTTCCTAAGTCGCAATAGTAACTAAAGAAAGGTTTTTATTGCAATACTGTACTTCTAATAGGTCACCATCAGCAATAGTCAGGAAAAAAAAAAGGAGAGTTTTACTGGCTCATCTTATCAACCAATTTCTTTTTTCTTGTTCTTGTTCTTTTTAGGTGGAGCAGGAGAGGGGTGGAATCTGAATTGCAGAGTGTGAAGATTTGATGTCAACTCAGACTGGATAGAGACAATTAATCAGGTATTAAAATGGATGGAAATAGTCATCATGAATTTTATATGAGAGAAATCAGTTAAAGTGGTTAAGACTATTTCTTAATCACTCTTGGGAACAAATTTGATGGCTCTATAATTATATTTTGTTAAGTAACCTGTGCTTGAAAGTGATGGATTATTTCTGTTGCCTGCGGAAGAAGTAAACTGTCTAGTGACTTATAAACAACATTGAGAAGTGATCTTTTGTTGATCTGCCATATAGCTCTTCCATTCCATGCAGATTTTATTTGTATGGCTTTGATACTGCATGCACTAATTTGCAATGGGGTCATGTGTTGCATCCACCACCTTTCGTCCTGTGGTGGAGGCTTAACTTACTGCTCATAGCTACTGTGGCTGCTACGATTCGTACAAAAACAGAGTACACAAGAGAGAACCTCTGCGGGCAAGCACTGGGTTGCATTTCAAGGAAACCCTGATCTAGATGAACTTTCGTTTAACATCCAATCCAAAGCCAACTTTAATTTAAAAGAGCTTTATCCTGCCATTGATTGGGTTGTGATGCTAGACCAAACCATTTGGGAATTAAATTGGAATTTGGTTGGATGTTGAGCCAAGTTCATCTGAATCGAGGCTGGAATGGATGTCCAATGCCTTGTCGAAGAACTTGAGCCATCCCATGATTTATTTTCAGTAGCACCACCAATATCACACCACCTCCTCCGCAATTGCCTAAGTTTTCGCTTGATTGGGTCTTCTCAAAAATGCAACTCGATTTTTGTTCCTTTGAATATGTTTTGCCTCGTCATTTCTTTTTCTTTGTTTCAAAAAATCAACTTCAAACGAGATCCACTTCTTCAAAAGTAGTGAAAAGATGCAACCTTGATCTCAATATTCAAATAAATAAATTAGAAGGCTGAACATGTAAAAATATTTCAGGTTTTCAAATCATACAAGATTGAAATCAACAAGTGAACTGAGTAATTTGTGTAACATTAGCACGTAGACCAATCTCATAATTGCAAATCAAATTCTTAAGAGACAAAATTGGATGTTTTAAGAGTTTGAACTCCAAAAAACCACAAATGCAATTTAATTAAGAATTAATCTTTCTTATATTAACACAGTAAAGGTTTTTTTTTTTTTAATCACTAGCCGGTTTTAATGTATGAAACATAGTTCTTATTTGAATTTGAAATTTTATTTTTGCACATATGTGTCATGCATCCACACCTACTAATATAAATGAACCTTTACGTAAACTCATGATGTAGGAAACATTATCCAAAAATTAATTAAATCTATTATGTTACTCATCAATTAACCCTATATTCAATCATACAAAATCATTTATTCCGTTACAAATTAAGTTTGAATATCGAAAGACACTATTTACTAGTGATCTTTCTAAAAATCCTTTAGACTCTTCGTATGATAATTTATTTATGGAAACAACTAATCTTAATCCAATTTTCCATTTATCTATCGCTTCATCTGTATTTTTTACACAGTCTAAATCTAAAAATGTTCTAAAAGGAAATATAGTTTCAGGTGTGGTCCTATCTAAAAGTGTATAGCATTCATTATCTAAATAGCCTTTTTGCTTTGCTATGTTCATTAATGATGAAATAAAAGAGTTTCTTGACCAGGTTTGTGCCTAGCATACGAAGATGCGGGTCTACTAGTTGAAACTATACCATTTATGTTTGGGTTTATTTCTGGTTTTGTATTTATCATCAGATCATTAAGTTTATTATTTATATTTTCTATTTCAGAATCTGAAAGACAAATAAAATTATCTTCAGACTCACATTTTATTATCTTCAGACAAATAAATAGGTAGACGCCATATGAAGAAGGCAATTGGGAAAGGAGAGAGAATTGGAGCTGAGAAGGAATTGAGGGAATCAAGAGTTCAACTCACCGATTGTCTTGAAAATCTAAAGGAAATCATTATAGGTAATAATCAATCAGGAAGTATCCCTGATTATATTTGTTACAATCTTCGAAAACTCAGGTGGCTGAATCTATATATCAAGAAACAAGTTGAAGGGACAAATTCTATCCACTTTAGACCAATGTTCACAATTTCAGACACTTTCCCTGTGTCTTTCAACAATTTCACTGGCGTCATCCCAAGAGAAATTTGGTACCTGAAGGAGCTTGAGGTGCTGATTCTTGGCAGGAACAATTTTGAAGGTAAGAAGATCCTGATTCAGATGCTGGTGGATTATTGTTGTTGCTAGTTATTTTACTACTGTTCAGAAATCACATGCATTTGAGCAAAAAACAAATTGATATATTAGTCAATTTGCACTTTATTTTTTTCATTATCTATTGGTGGTCCATTTATGTATTGCCCAAACATGCAGCTAGCTAGTAGTTGCAAGCAGCAAATTCTGTCAATGGAGGACCTCTCTTATTTTATCTTATTCCTTTTTTCGCACCTTAGGAAATATAAACTATTACCAGTTCCATCAAATACCCTAACTTCGTAGGATGTCTTCGGTTTACATTCTTTAGGTGAAATTCCCAGGGAGATAGGTAACTCAACTATGCTGAAGACACTAGACTTGGGCCATAAATGGTTAGCAATATCACCGATTCCGATACGAATCGGTCGTAGTAACCGAAACGGAAGGGACCGATACGATACCGATCCCCAAATCGTGGAGATTACCATATCTACGGCGACTCGTTCTAACTCGGCTGATATTGGTCGATTCGAATATGTGATGCTCTGACTTGACCGATATATCCGAATCAACTCGGAGTCGATTCGAATATTTTTTCCCAAATTGTATCTTTTTCGGTATTTTCTAATGTTAATAATCTTTTCAGATTTTTTGAAAATTTTTATATGCTATAATGTACGTATCACCTGATATTCAACCAATATGTCACGACGAATATGGAATAATCGAGACCGTGATGCGACCGGGACCTATGACGGCGAACCATGTTCATAACTACGTAATCGGTACAAAAATTGACTATATTTTACAATAGCTTAGCAGCTTAGAACAACAAAAGTTGATGGTGAATAGTTTTGCTTAATGCATGTGCATTGATACAATTTTGGCAGGTGTAATACCACGAGAGATTGGCAATCTACAAAATCTGGAAGATCTACTTTTACAGTTCAATAGCCTGACTGGTTCCATTATTCCATACCACATGAGATCTTTAACCTTTCAATGAACCAAATGATTTCACTCCCTGTCCCTGGCACTCAACTTTCAGGCAATCTTCCGTCAAGAATGTGTTCTGGGGTACCCAATTTACAGCATCTTTACTTTAGGTGGAATAACTTCAGTGGGGACTGGGGACTATCAATCTTTAGTGCCACGGGGTTAAGATTTCAAATCAAAATAGTAAAATTAATATTATTGAAAAAAAAAGTTATTTCAAAAGAAAAGGCTAAAAGTTAAAAATAGTATCAGTTTTACTATCAATCTTTATGAAAATGTGTAATTTTAAATGAAAATAAAGATAAAAACTTTTCACTCATAGAAGGTAAGCAACTCATCAACCTGAAAAAAATCTCAAATTTCCTAACAATTATGGTTAATGATCACGTATTCTTGCACTTGCCTATGAAAATTTATTCCATCTTAAAAAAATTTCTTTCTTTCATCATATTGTGCCCTAAGAATTTAGTATATTCTTAATTAAACTACTTATGATTCTATGAATACTAAAAAAATTAAATTGTACATGTGGTATTAGTATTAGATAATATTTGGTTCAAATAACTACATTTTAAAAAAAGAAAAGAAAACAACAAAAATAAAGAAAAAAAACCCAAATAAGATAACAAAACATAGTACAAAAGATCCAAAAGATACATCAAATACATAATCATCAACTTTTCCTCATTCCCTTCTTCACTATCTATTTTATGTTATAATTGACTTTTTTTATTACTTTTTCATTTCTCTTTGCCATACGCTCTTAGTCCTGTAGTTTTACTCCTACCTCCGATCATCTCCTTTTCGTCACTCTTGTCCTTACCCCTATTCCGACCCATCCCGACTACCCTATGGATGCACCCATGTGACTCCACTATCATTATAATTTCTATAGTTCATCTTACATTTTCTATAAATGCAACACTAATAATAATTTAACTAATCATTCTTTTAAATTTTAGTAAAAACAATTGAACGTGAAATAATGTTACAAATTGCTTTGATACTTTGAACTCATTTCTCTATATTTGATACATAAATTCTAAACTAATTTCTATTGTTGCTTTATAAACAATGTACAATATATGAAACAAATTAAGTAAACTAATATAGAACATAACCATTTTACCATAATAAATTGGTAATAATAATTTATCATTTCTAGCAAATAAAATATCACGTCATTCAATTCATACTCTATATGTGTGTGTGCAGGCGCGCGCTTGTGTGTGTGTGTGTATAGCATGAACACACCACACACACGAGCACACATAGACACACACACACATATATTATTAAATTATAAGTGGGGGGAACAATCCCAAATCTTTTGTTCTCTATTCATGACATTATACTCCTTTTTTGGCCATCTTCCTCTTATCCAATAACCTTTTCTTCTCCATCCTTGAAATCCTTTCCCTTCCTCTCATCATACAAGCCTCATAATCCTTCTTTTCCACTCAGTAATTTCATCTCTTGCCTAGTCTCATAGCTTTATCTATTCCTTCTCTCGGCATACTTCTTCCATCCGACCAATTCACCTCCAAACCCTATAATTTTCCAATTCATGACTAACGAGTGCGGGGTATACATATACAATTAGATCATTTACAATCAAGTTTTATATTTATAAACTCCTAAATACCCCACACGTAATTTATCGCAAGTATACGAATAGTGAGCGAATATAGTGTATTAAGAGTCGATCCCACAGGGAAGATTGCGATTACCGGTGATTTTTAAACTCCTTTATTATTTAGACTACGATAAATGTAAAAGTAATAAAAATAACACTAGAAAGCTCCTAAAGATATGGAATTCCTTACTACTCTTGCAAATGAGATTACCGGTTACGTGAATGCTATTATCTTGGTTAGTTATGGCGTAATTTCCTAATATATGTGAAACCTACTCTTGTAGTAAATCAACTATACTTGTAACTAAGCCATACCTACTCTCGTGGTTATGAATTAATTACAAATTATTCCTTCTATGAAATTACATGAAACAAGTCACTTAATCCACATAGGTGCACATCTACTCTCGTGAGTGTACTCCCTAGGTTTATCACTTCGTTGAACTAGTGTTAAATTTCAATTCTCATTACAAACTTAACACCTTTAGATAATCACAACTAATGGCCGGTTAATCATGATTAGAAAAGCAAAAGTGATAAATAACTTGCTCAAAATAATATCATCAAATAACCAAGTAAACATCACAAATAAGATATAGCAAGTTCATCCATACTCTAGGCATAAACTTTAGCTAAACACGAAGAAAAACACATCCAAACTTGTATTATAGCTAAACATGAACTTAAATACAAAAGAGAAAGTGATAGGAGAGATGTCATCCTTGTCACATGAGCTTCAAACTCTCCATTTTTGCTCCTCCAATTTTCATCCAAATCTAACTACAAATACAAGAAGGAAAAGCTACACTAACTACTCTATAATACCCTAACTAATGAACTAAGGAAATTCTAGTGAAAGCAACATTTTTGGTGAGTTTCTCTAGCTTTCCAAAGTTCTGAAAATGTCCTCCAAAGGCTTCTATATATAGAGGATTCAAGAGCCAAATGAATTGTTTCCAGTTGTCATTTTTTACTCTTGAAACTCTCTAAGTTTGCTTTTCAAAGTTTCCATGCATCATCTGATCATTTCCTGCCGGAATCTTTGCAGAAAAAATGGTCAAAAAGCTTGTGTGAAAAGAACACAAGTTGCAGAGCAAGTTGCAGCTGAAATCCACTAAAACGCGGGTAGAAAACGCGGCCAATGACCGCGTTTTGACCCCCATTTTACTCTTTGCAGGTTTGCACTTTACTGGGCAGAATTCATCCTTGCTCTGTTTTTTGTCCAACGTCAACTGATATTTTCTTGGTCTTAGAGGCTGAACTAACTCTTGTATAAAACATAAAAGTTGTAGCCCTTTGAATTAGGTTTCCAATGCCTCAAAAATCATCGCAATTTGGAGCTCTGTGGATCAATAAATAACCAAAATACCCTCAACTGGTCAGAACCTTGTTTCAGCTTCGACCATAGAAAATGCACTTCTGTATTTCGACTTTTTGACAATGAAAACAGCTGAACTGAACTCCAATGTCTTCATACCGAATGTAAATATATCTCTTATCTTCAAAATGGTTCATGAATCACCTCAATCTAATGTCTGTAGCTCAAGATATAGCCAAAATACGACAAGGTGTCAAAGCTGTGAAACTTGCTTTCTTTTGTTCTTGATTGCATTTCCTCTTTTGCACTTCATGTCTTGTTTTTATCACTTCAAACCATCATCAATCATCCAAATATCTTCTCAATATACTCCATTTGATGATTGAATCCTTAAACCTACAAAAACATGAAATTTTCACCATCAAAATCCACAGAAATGCAATTTTTACCACATAAACCTTAAAATGCATATTTTCACTAGAAACTTAGTTAATTAGTTATAAAAGTAGGTAAAACACACCAAAACTAACTAATAAAATATACTTAAAACACGTAAAATATATACTTGTCAATGACCTATTTCGTTGCTGTCTAAAAAGTTTTGATAAGTGGGATCAACATAAAATTTCATAAAATTTGGTGTCTTTGAAAATTTTCTATAAATATCCTTTGAAAAAAATTTTCAAACATTCCAAAAATATTTATGAAACAAATTATTTAAACACATCCTTGTTTCTGTGAGTTCATCTCCATCTCAGTAAAATTTGTTTACTATATATCTCACCTTCAAATATTATACATACACACATATGTATGTGTGTGCATGCACGTGCGGGTATGGATAAATCAAAAACATATTTTACATATATATCTAAATTTAGTAAACAAAAAAGGAAGTTTACATTGGTCAAAACTATAAACATTTGGTCTAATGTTGATAGAATCTGGATAAGAAATTAACGAGAGTTCAAAGTATCATTTGAATCTCAAGGATGAAAATATTTTCTGGTAAAGGATAGAGATTGATATGTCTAAGCTTGGGAATTAAGAAATATGATACAAAATTAAAGAGCAAATTAATAAATTCATTAATATAGTGTACTTAATTTCCTAAGAGAATTGTAATGATAACTACTAAATTGTAACATCACGTTATATTGTTTCTATTTTTCATAATATTTGCATATTGATATTACCTTATTGTAAAATAGGAATATTCATTTTGTCGTTATTAGACTTGTATCTTTTCCAAGTCTGCATGAGAGTAAGTAGTATATTAATGATCTTGGGCAAGATTAGTATTACCATAAGTTGATCACTCTTGGGAACAGGTTCTTTGGCTTTATAATTATGTTTTCATTAAGTATCTTATGCTTAAGAATGATGGATTATCTCTAGTGGCTATGGAAGAAATAAGCTGTGTGCTGACCAGTAAATAACATTTGAGACATGATCTTTTGTTGATCTGCCATATAGCTCTTCTGTGCATATTCTATTTGTTTGGTTTTGATGCTGCAAGCTCTGATTAGGAATGGGGTCCAGTGTTACAAAGAGGATGATGGTAGAATGTTTTTGGATGCTGTTAAAAAAAATAAGTCTTCTTGTTCATGTTAAAAATTTATTTTCGTGTCCTGTGGTGTAGATTCCAACAAAGCAATGCAGAACTGTTTCTAGAATGAACTCAATTTTGCTTTCTGAGTTGGTGCTATACCAAATTTAGCTTAAGTTTAGCTCAGAAACTATTATTCTTGTATCCTGTCTTCACATGCATGGATTTAAGATGCCATTTTTTACTAGTTTAACAATCAACAAAGCAAATTTGAGAGATGAAATTTTTCAAAAAACAAATAAACAAATAGACAAACTATGGAAATGAAACCAGAGTACTCTCACTTCTCAATATGAGCGTCGAACTCGAGCAAAACTAGTGCTATTCCTTAGGTTTTTCTGGATCTAATCCATCATGCAATCAGAAAATTGTACACATAGATTTGAAGGCTGCAAATATCCATTTGGATCATGAGTGTGAAGCTGTTCTGTAGTGGATACAAAACTAACGCGTCACAACTCTAGGCCAGGGAACTATGGGACACTTTCCTCTTAATATTTCTTGACTGGAAAGTCTTTGGAGAAGACAGATGTAATTGAATATGGCATTCCTGTTAATGAGTACGCCCTCACTATAGTGACTACTTGTTACTGCCTAGCGGGCCGAGTGGATTTCGCTTTTTCTACATTGGCTGTCTTCTTCAAGCGTGCTCTTGCACCTGCTGTAGCCACCTTTAGTGCTTTGCTCAAGTGACTCTTTCAAGACAATAAGGTTCCCCAAGCACAAGAATTGTTCAAAAAGATAATACAAGAAAAGGCCAACCCAATGAGATTACATTGGGGATTGGGATAGATGGGTTCCAACAGTATTGATAAATGCCTATTACAAGACCAAGAAAGTGGAAGCAGCCATGAATCTCTTTCGAGAGATTCGACATAAAGGTTTAACACCTAATGTTGTTGTTTGTAACACTGTCATGCAAGGGTTATTCAGTGCAGGAAGCTATCTTAGTGCAAGAGAAGTTTTCGATGAGATGCAAGCTGCAGGAATAAAGCCTAATTTTCACACTTACTGCATCATGTTGGATGGGTTATGCAAGATTGGAAAGGTCCATGAAGCAATGCAGTTGTTCCATTCAATGGAAGCTGATGGAGTAGATCTTCATATAAGCATGTATAATATCATCCTTGATGGGTTGTTTCAACAATCTCTCCCTTGAAGGATTCAACCCTGATGTCAGAACATACACCACCATGATGGCTGGCCTGCTTTCAAAAGGTCTGCTGATCGAAGCTAAAGAGCTTGTTGAAAAAATGGAAGAGAAGGGTTGCCTGGTGTTACATACAATGTTATTTTGCGAGAACTCCTTAAGGGAGGTCATTATGATGGCACAATGGTCTATTATGAAGAAATGGTTCGTAGAGGATTCTTGCTGGATGCATCTACTTTTTCCATTTTACTTGATTCGAAAAATCCTCCTATACTTAAGTTGATGTTTGATATTGATCCTGATATTGAGAATCTAAAGAATGAAGGATAAAAAAGGACCTTCAGATTAGTTGCAACTTATTGGTCCTCTTCTTTTTTGGCTCCTAAACTGTTTTCTATTGGAATCAACATTATGTAAGTTTGCCTTTGATCTTGTTGTCTTTTTTTTTGGTCAAAATGGCAACTTCCATTTCTTCAACAAAACGTCTTACAAACACTGAGGCCACTGCCTCACCAAATCTGCTTGAGTAATTTCAAGCAGCCAAACCGGAAAGGTGTGCTTCCATTCAGTTACATTTGCCAAGTTCATAGCAAATTTTGCTAATTTATGGCTAATACAGTTGTTCTCCCTCCTAGTGAAGGAGATACAACATTGGTTAAAGTCATACTTTAAACTTCTAATATCCTTTATCACAGTAGCAGTGATCGATCGATCATCTTCCTCCCCATTCACCTTGTCTACCATTTCCTTGCAATTTGATTCAAATTCTACTTTCTTTCATCCTTGTTGTTTAGCTCGTATCATTGCAGCTCTGAGTGCTAATGCCTCTTCAAGTTTTGCATTAGAGCAGCTTTTTGATGGGTAGACCCATGTTGCTATCACTTTGCCTTCCCAATTTCTTCTTGTGATGCCTCATCCTACTCTGCCAGCTTTGTTGTTTAAGGCTGCATCTGTATTCACTTTTATCTAGTCCTCTTGTGGTTGCTTCCAACTCTGATCGTCTCTTTTTGCTTCCTGTTTTTGATCCTCTAGCTCCAATTCCTTCTCCTGAGCTTCTTGGTATTCATTCCATTCCACCACTGCTTTGTTCACTGATACCATTGGATCTCTGTATATGTTGTTAAACTGTGTATTTCATTCCTCGATTTCCAGATCTGCCAAGGAGATTTACTGTGAAAATTATGTGCTCCTTCCCACTTTCTTTGATCACGGCATCCTTCAACTCCTCCCACCAATGTCAGAAATTGTTTCTATATTCATCCAGTCCATCCCAACTTAGAGGTGCACACTTCCAGATTGTTCTAACATTCCTACAGAAAAATAACATATGTTCTATCGTTTCAAAACTTTCTCCACAGTATTTACAGATATGATCACCCCCACCGCACCTTTCCTTTACTACTGCACTAACAGGAAGAATTCCCTGCAGACATTTCCAGAGGAGTCTCTTGGTCATATTTTGTGAAGCCTGTGATTTGTACATTAGAAGAATCGAAATTGTACCGAATATAGGCTTATAAAATCAATTTTCTATTTATACGTGACTAAAGTGTAATTTGAAGAATCGAAATTATACCGAAGTATAGAAAGTTTTTTTTCTTTTCCGATATTTTAATGTAATAGGCCAACTTTTGGCACGAATAATTTATAATTACTTCCTCCTGCCTCCTTTTAAACCAGCCGTTAAAAGGGGGAAAAAAATGGAGAGAGAGAGAGAGAGAATGGGTTCAGCCAACTTGAGATCGATACGACATCATGCCATTCAAAATCAACCTGAAAACCAGAAACATCAGGGCTTCAGAATTTGCCTCAAATCCCAGTAATTAATTCACCCAAATTTCAGATTTCAGACCAATTTAAAATCCTCATCAGCTGAAGGCGTAGAAGATGATGACGATGAAGAGAAGAGCTTCTTCTGCGGTGATTGTTTCCATTGCTCGGTCTCAGGAGGCAGCGGCTTCATTAGGTACAACTGCTCCTGCAGGTTGTACTACTCTTGCTTCATTTCTCTCTGCATTCCCCAACGTTAAACCCCAATTAGCTTGCTATTCTGCTGGTAGTGATAAAATTAGAAACCATCAGTGCCAAATTGGATCGTCTTTTGTTAACGTTGTGCAATTTCCATCTGGGTTGAAGAGTAGGATTGGTAGTATTAACGGTCTTGATGATGCTCTGAGCTTGTTCGAGCGGATGGTCCGGATGAGGCCTCTGCCTTCTGTTATTCAATTCAATCAACTGCTGACTTGTATTGTTAAGATGAAGAATCATTATTCTTCAGTTATTTCCCTTTTTAGAGATATGTGTGTCCAGGGCATTCCTGTGGATGAGGCCACCCTTAATATAATGATTAATTGTTGCTGCGTTGTGGGCCGAGTGGATTTAGCTTTTTCTACATTGGCTGGCTTCCACAAACGTGGTTTTGTCCCTAATGTGGTCACCTTTAGTACTCTACTCAAAGGACTCTTTCGAGGACGCAAGGTTCCCCAGGCACAAGAATTATTTAAAAAGATAATATTCGAAAAACTTTGCGAGCCCAATGAAGTTATCTTTCTGGTTGTGATAGATGGGCTCTGTAAGGCGGGTAATACTCAAATGGCCATTGAATTCCTAAGACTTATGGAAAAAAGAAGAAGATGTAAGCCCAACGTTTATGTGTACGGTACAATCATTGACAGCTTGTGCAAGGATAAAATGGTTGATGAAGCTCTTGCCCTCTTACAGGAGATGTTTGAAAAGGAAATTCCCCCAGATGTTGTCATTTACAATTGTTTGATTCTAGGTTTCTGCAATTTAAGTAAATGGAAGGAGGTTATAAGGCTCTTCTCTGACATCAAGGATTACAAAATTGCTCCAAATGTTTTTACTTTTACTATAGTGGTGGATGCATTGTGCAAGGAAGGACATGCAAAAGATGCTGAAGAGGTAGTCCGGATCATGATCCAGCAAGGTCAAAATCCCGACGTGGTCACATACAATTCCTTAATGGATGGATATTGTTTACAACGCCAAATAGGTGAAGTAAGGAGAGTATTCGATACCATGGTTGCTAGTGGCCTTACTCCAGATGCTCATAGCTATGCTATTTTGATAAATGCCTATAACAAGAACAAGAAAGTGGAAGCAGCCATGAATCTCTTTCAAGAGATTCGGCATAAAGGCTTAAAATGTGATATTGTTGTTTATACCGCTGTTTTGCAGGGGTTATTTAGTGCAGGAATGTATCCTAGTGCAAGAGAAGTTTTTGATGAGATGCAAGCTTCTGGCATAAAGCCTGATTTTCACACTTATTGCGTGATGTTGGATGGGCTATGCAAGACTGGACATGTCGACGAAGCATTGCAGTTATTCCATGCAATGGAAACTGATGGAACAAATCTTCACATAGAAATGTACACTATCATCCTTGATGGGTTGTGCAAAAGCAGGAGGCTCGATAGTGCTCGAGATCTTTTCAACAATCTCTCCCTTAAAGGATTGAACCCTAATGTCAAAACATACACCACCATGATTGCTGGCCTGCTTTCAGAAGGTCTGCTCATCGAAGCTAAAGAGGTCGTTAAAAAGATGGAAGAGAAGGGTTGCCCGGCAAATGATGGTACATACAATGTTATTCTGCAAGGACTCCTTAAGGGAGGTCATTATCATCATGCGATGGTCTATCATGAAGAAATGGTTCATAAAGGATTCTCGCTGGATGCACATACCTTTTCCATTTTACTTGATTTGTCTGCTGAGAATCAGAAGAAACCTTCTGTGCTAATGTTGATGCTGAAGATTGATCCCGATAGCAAGAAGTTCATAGATGGGGAATGAAGAGGACCTTCACATTAGTTGCAACATGTTGGTCCTGCTATTTATTTTGGCCCCTGAACTTTAATTTGTTGGAAAAAACATTAATTAGGTTTGCATTTGATCCTGTTATCACTTTTCATCTTTGTTGCAATGCAACTGAGCCTTAGAGGAACTCTCTTGGTGATTTTTTGTGAAACGCCTCAGAGATCATCAATATGGTGGAGAAGCCGCATTCCTTGGTGATCTCTCCACAGTCTCTGCCATAAAGGATTGGACCTTGATGAGAAAACATACACCCCAATGACTGCTGGCCTGCTTTCAGAAAGCTTGTTTGCAGAAGCTAAAGAGCTTTTCGAGAAAATGGAAGAGAATGGTTGCTGGCACACAGTGTCATGTTCAATGTTATTTTGCAAGGACTTCTGAGGGGAGGTCACTACGATGATGCAGTGTTGTATTATGAAGAAATGGTTCGGATAGAATTCTTGCTGGATTCATCTACTTTTCCATTTTACTTGATTCATCTGCAGGAAAAAAGAACAATCCTTCTCTATTTTGTTGATGCTGAAAATTGATCCTGATAGCAAGATGTCCATGATTGGGGGATGAATGGTACCTTCACATTAGTTACAACTCGGTAGTCCTGATGTTTTCGCCCTTAAACTTTAATTGTGCTGGAACTAACATTATCTAAGTTTGCACTTTCCTGTTCTCACTTATCTCTCTCTACATTTAGTGTTTTGGTTGAGCTATAGTGGTCAAATTTGTGAGGTCCATGACATGATACTTCAGATTTTTCGGAACTTTCTTATTGGGGTGACTGAATGATGCTGCTATTGCCCTGCTAGATTAATACTATTAATGGTTGATACACTTAAATCATCTTCTTGACTTTCTAAAACATTAATGGCTTTATGTGAAAGAACCTGCATTTCTGGACATAGGTATGTGTCCATTAGTTAAATTTAAGTTGGTGGATGATTACCTTTCAAGGACATTGACATGTCTGTTCCTTGTTTATCACAGTTCTGCTTAATTGAAACATTGAATGAAACATGTCTATTATTAATATCCAGCATCTGTTAGTCGTAAAATTTGTTTGGCTGAATATTGATGATCACAGAGGCGCAAAAGAGAGAGAGCTGTTTTTCTGGTTACTCTGCAGTCATATGAACCCCATTCAGCAATTGTTAAATATCTATTTCTGCCTTTTACAGACCTCAAACCTGGAAAACCTGGGGAGAAAGGCCTAGACTGGACTAATTGGAAAAGAACAGCTTTTGGTGCTGCACACAGCCTAGAATACCTGTATGAGCATTGCAATTTGAAAATCATAAACTGAGATTGAGCGCTGCAAATATCGCCCTGGATGGTGACTTTGACTCTGTTCTTGGAGATTTTGGGCTTGTAAAGTTGGTGATTACAAACTAACACACATCACAAATCAAGTCCGGGGAACCATGGGACACATTGCCGCTGAATATTTGTTGACTGGAAACTCTTTAGAGAAGACAGTGCGTTTGGCTATGGTATAACATCTTCTGGACTTGCAACTGGTCAGTGTGCAATAGACTTCTTTTGGCTTGAAGGAGGATGATCTACTGCTAGAGCATGTGAGTATCACATTCACTTTTTGAAATTTAGGCAGAATCTTCATGCAGTATGACTATAACTCAGTATTGCAGCATTGTTATGTTCCTCTAAAATTCTTAATTGTGCATAATGAAATGGTCAAAAATATTTTAACCAAGCTAAATTCATTTGTATATTTAGCATTGTTGGTAAAAGCTTTACATTATAGTTCTTGTGTCAAAGTGTTATTTGTAGTCTAATGTGATTGCAAACTAATCTTTAAATTTATGTCACATTGGATATTAGCCCTTTGAAGCTTTTTCTTTGGCAGGCTTCATTTCTGCCCAAGTCATTTGGGAAGTCATTTTTTCTCAAGTCAGCTGTCTCTAGTTCAAATTTTAATTTAATTGAAAGTTCCTTGGTGTTTGAGTTGGTTGTCTTGCACCCAAAGTTTTGCCAACTTACATATCTATGTTCAAGAAGATAATACAAGAGCGAGTATCCATGGCATGCACTCGGTTGCTTTATAATGAAATGCCAATTTAGATGAACTTTGGTTTAACATTCATTACAAATTCAACCTTAAATTCAAAAGAGGTTCAACCTTCCATTGATTGAATTGAGATGCCAGAACCTTTTCCTCAATTGGATTTGAATTTGATTGGATCTTGAAGCATGTTCATCTAAATTGGGTCACCTGGGTTTGAATTGCCTTTTTGAAGAAATTGAACCATCCTATGATTTACCTTCAATACTACCACCAAATTCACTGCCACCTCCTTCCTAACTGTGTAATTTTCTTCTTGATAGGGTTTTCTTGAAAAATTACCTTGTGCAGTGAGCTAGTAGATTCTAAAGTGAGAGCTCTAATGTGGGATTTGAGTTGCTTCAAAACTTTTAGGATTGGATTTCCTACTTTTACTTTACTCAATCCCATTGCTAACTTTCTTCCTTTCAGGTTTTAGTTCTCCTCAAGGATCACCTGATACATCCTTGGGATTCATGTCCTTTTTGGCTGTAGCTCTGGCACCAAAAATACTGTGCCATTAAAAAGTTTATTTCTCTGGCAACTGTGAGTTCAGAAATCATTTTGACTGTTCTTCTACTTCAGGGAATAGACATCGTGTTCAAACAATTCAGCACCTCTGGTTTGCACCCTGGATGCGTTTGATTCTGCCTTCTGCGTTAACTGGAGAGTGGTTCGAATGTTTAGCGTAGCAATCTTACAAATCATGTTTAACATTTCAGTAGTTCATTGTAAAGGAGAACGATTAGTTTGGCACTCTTATGAATCATGTTTAGCTCTGCTGTAGTTCTTTCTTTCTAAATTCTTGTATTAGCAAGTAATTGACAAAAGCTATGTATAAATATTTGTACGCTGTAGGTTATTTGGAAAGGACTAATGCACGTGCTACTGCAGTTTAGCTCCAAAAATGTCCGCAGAAAATTGCTTTTCTGCAGAAACTTGTTAAACTTTGCACAAGCTTAGAGGTGGCAATTTGTCCCAAGTCCCAATGGGTTACCCATGTCCATGGGGACTTTGGGCGGGATGTGTATTGGATTTTGATATTGGGTTTAAAATGGGACAAATCCCAATTGTACCCATTAATTGATGGGAATACTTGGGAAATACTTGGGTACCCATTGGGCTCAAATAACCAGGGTTTTGTTTGGTTTAGCTATTTTTGGGGGGTATTTTTGAAATATTTTATTATAGCAGTGTATATGAAAACTCCGTAGTTCTTACTCCTTTTACAGCTCTTTTAGAAAGTCACCAGGGCTTGGGACTGGCATTCTATAAGACTATATTTAGTTCAGCATATGCAAACTAAGGGTGCGTTTGATAAAACTGAAGTTTGGAAAGTGAAATTTGAAATCTGGATCAACTAAACTATTGAATTGTTAAGTAATACCCGATACATTTGAGTGTATGTCGCATTAAGTGATAAGTAAATAGTTTATCACTTATGTTTTGGAACAAGTTTTGTATAGGAAATTCACCGTCATTTAATTAATTTAGATGTTTAATTTTTGGTTATCAAATACATCTGAATATGTTACGATCTAGATTCATTAAGTTTAAGTGTTGAATTAGGTTATCAAATAGGGCCTCGGCTGTGCTATGCCCTAGATATAACTATTAATACTTTAAATCAAGTGGACTTTCCTGCCTACAGCCAAGACTGGTGTATGTATGATATTCAATTTTGGGGGAATTTTCTGGAAATAAATTTCTGAGTTTTACACTAATCTTCTTCCTAGTCTTTTAACAAATTGTTTTAACAAACGTGGAAATTTTTTCAATATAGATTTTCGCAATTTAGCGGAAGGAAAAACTGGTAGCTCCTTTCTTTTCAAAGAAACACAAGTACTAGTCAATTCACACATTCACGCATATATACAATATCATGGTATAAAGGTTTTAGGTTCTGTTCCCACATCTTAAATCCCACCTTTCTTTTATTGGGAAAAAATTTTTAAAATGTAAACCTTATCAAGGCATTGGTTCGGCATCAGGGCATACCTGTCTTTTAAAACTAAGTTGTGGAAAAAAAAAAGAAAAGAAATTAAAAATAGTCAGTCCTGCCAAATATTTTGCCAATTTCTAAGAAATATATTGGAGTAGGAGAAGGTTCTAGTGACCCTTTCTTTATAGATGAAGATGTTTTTTTTTTTTAAATTTTTTTAGTATAAGTGAAAGGTCTCGAATTCGGAACCTCTCAATTACATTTTTTTTTCGGTGTCACTCAACCCATCCACTGATATTAATGGGAGCTACAAATCCATAAATTTGCACTATGTAGGTCCTACCACTCTTGATGTGGAAGATAATTTTGATTACTTCGTTCTTCATGAGCTGTATATCCTGATTATTATTGTTCTGCATTGTTTCGCAAGTAAAGATCACTTTAAGAAATGGGTGGACGGTTGACATGGACCAATACTAGTTTTTATTTAAAAATGAAATAATTACAGTCGAGGTGAATTAAATGGCCTCGTCGTTTAATAATAAATTAATAAAAAATAACTCTAGAGAAGCATGATCAATGCCTTAGCGCTTAAAAGGGGAATGAAAAAATCCTATCGAGTCATAATTTGGTCTCTTTTCATGCATTGTCTTTAAAATTGTCAAGTATTATTTGAATGGTATGCTATATTAACTCAGGAAGTAGATATAAATAAATCTCATGGAAAACCACATTTTCTTTTTCTTTTTTCCTTCTTCACTTAACATGATAGTGTGTGTGTGTGTATAGGCATGTCAATAGATCAAATATTATCAAGATCCAACCTAGGCCTGTCATGTTTTTTTTGGGTTTGGATTTAGATTTTCAAACCTAGAGCTTACCCAACCCCCCTCCCCCCTCCCCCCTCCCCCTTACACACACACACATGTATATAAGAAAAATTGTAAGAGATTTAAAGATATGCAAGCTTCACTGTTGAATATAAATAAAAATTTTCAAGCAAATCGAATTATTTGATAAAATTCCGGACTTTAAGTTCATGATTTATTGCAAGAAACATTCTTGAAAATAGTAATTACATTGTGTTTCTTATCTTTGAATTGTATACATTTTTATTACTTATGAATTTAATTTTTAATTACACATAGGGTTGTTATCGAATCTAGTCGAGTCGAGTTTGAATAGTGCATTACTTGAGTTCTGCTCGAGCAAAAATACTTGAACTCATGGTCAAACTCAAGCTCATTGTAGTTCTTCAAATTTAAATTTGAGCTCGAACTCGTGCTTATTTTACCTAACTCAACCTCGAATTCAACCAAATCAAGTTCAGTCGAGTTCAATCAAAAATTTTGAGCTTGAGTTTTTAGTAAATTTCATAATTTTATAATAAATAATTAAAAATTATATTATAAATACACTACTTGATAAGTCTCAACAAACTTAAATTTTTTTTTTACTTGAACTCGATTCAATTATTTTATTAAGTAACTCGAACTCGATCAACACCGAGTTTGAGTTGAGCCTTTGATTGAGTTACTTGCGAACCTTGAGTCGAGTAACTTAATTAATTTCCACCCCTAATATATATATATATATATATATATATATATATATGAAAGTACCTATTTTAATCAGAGTTGTTTGTCACTCCTACGCATGACATGCCTAATTAAAGAAAATTAACGAGTTATAGGCTACTTGGCTCACAAGCCCACTCAAATATATCTTCTTTTTTATTTTTAATAATGAAATTACGCATATAATTCCTAATATTTTATTATATATTAAGGTAAAATGTCTATTTTATCTATTCTATTATGAGTTCGAGTAGGGTTGAACTCGTGTTCGACCTTGAGATTTACATTAAAAACTTATTATTGAGTTCAAACTCATTAAAATTAAGTCAAGCTTGGTTCAATTTAGCCAAAGTTCGATTTGACTTGGTTCGTTTGCAACTCAATTGAATCCAGCCCAGAATCTATTCATTGACATGTCTACATGTGTTCATAAATATGTATGCAAATGTATCTATGTGTGCAAGCATAAATACGTACGCACATGTAGCTCCTATTTTTTTCTTGTCATTTTTTCTTTGTGCAATTGGGCCTTTTGGGCTATATTCTTTCGAGAATAACAACTTTTTTTTAACCCTCCCTTCCCTCCTCCCTTTACATTTTCCATCCCCGTACCTTTTCCATCTTTAAGTGCATGTACAGGATTTAAACATTGAACTTAACAGGATAGCTTGATCCTCGATTATTCATCATTGGATCATATTCATCTAAATAAGAATCCCACTGACTCAAAACTCATTGTCGAAAAAAAAAATGCAAAAATTTCAGCTCGGTGATTGATACAAAATTCATTATTTCACTTTATATTTGTACCTAAACCACATAAATAATCTTACTCCCATTTAACTAATAGCTTCAAAATAAATGCATCAAAAAATTGTGGAAGCTTTATTAGTTAAAAGAGTGGCATTCGAATCACTATACTTCATATAGAGCAACTTAAACATACTTTTTTCGAACGTCAACTTAAACATACTTCATATGAAGCAGCACACAATTCTAGCTTCTTTTGATTGGTAGTAAGGAAAAAAAAATAAAATAGAGATACCAAGAATAGTTTTTTCGATTTTTCTCGTTTCTTTTCTTTCAAAAACAATTCCCAAGTTATTTTTGCCTTAAGAACTAACAAACATGCTCAAAATTTATGCCTGATAATTAAATATCCATATCACACAAAAAAAAAAAAAAAGCATGCTTTACATTTTTTCTGCCATCTAAAATTTGCTTATAATAAATTATGGATAACTTTTTTTTACACGCTGTCAGTGTATAATATTTTTTTACACTAGCAGCTTAGATTATACCACATAATATGAATTTAAATTTGAAATTAAATTATGCAAATGTAACATATATTTAAAGTTATTAGTGTAAAAAAAGCAGTATACTGTCAGCACATAAAAAGTTAATCTATATATTATTAACGAAACTTTCCCTATTGTTCTAACTTGTTTGGCGGGCCTAAGATGTGCCCTGCACGAGCAGGCCTTCCAAGTACATGATTTATATGTGGAAAAGGCTTCCTCTGGACAAAGGTAAAGCTGAATATTTGCACTTGGTAGGCCTAGAATCACCTAGATTTGCACTTGACATGGTGCCATGAAAATCAAATAAAGCAAGAGAATTTCCATTTTGTTGTTGTATATTGTCCCCTAAATTTTTTCAAAGTAATTAGAGTTATAACCCAGTTTAAACAAGAAAACATACAATATGAAATGAAGTATTATTTGAAACCAAAAGAATAAGTTTAGAGTTTTTGTGTATAAAAGTGAACCAATGATGTTTATTTGCATTCACTCTCCAAAATTATAAGTGTAGTGAACTATTTATATCATTGTTTTTATATTTTTATTGCCCATAAAACTCTTTTCCAGTTCTGTGTAATTTTCTAAAATTAAAAGTCTAAAACTTAATCATCAAATGCTCATCCAGCGATTAAAGCTATATAAATGGTCTACCAAAAGTAATTGAGCAAGACAACCAATTCATGACACAAAAAAACCAAAGTGCAAGGACATTGAAGCTGGGATCAATGGCATGAAAAGGAAACCAGAATGTGTTGTTTTGTCCATTTTGTCTCTTCTCTTTTCTCTTTCATCTTTCTTTGGTCAACATAACATATAATGAACTTATCTAACTACATGTGCTAGTGATCACAACTTGTCTAACTACATCATCTATTCAACTTATCAAGCATTGAACAACTATGATCAACATAAAAAAATGATGATTTTTGTCATACTTTTGACTCTAACATCTAACTAAGTTCATGGTTTTGACATACTCCCTATTTTCTCCTTCAAATTTACATGATGAACTCTGAAAATTTACATGTTCTGGAAGTAACAGGTCACATTCGATCATATTACATTAACAGATAACAGAGCTTGCA